TTTCAAACTAGGGTAAAAATATTTCAATACTACTTACTACTTCCATCATCATTAAGCAATCACTTCACCTTGGATTATCAAAATCAGTATAGCTGCAGTTCAAATTTTTTGGATGATTGATAAGAATTTGCACGAATGTAGTTTTCAAATTTTAGTAGAAATATTTGACATTTAATTTACAAATTTTTTACTATTTTTTTAATAAAACACTCATTCAGTACACATTTACACTCTTCTTCTTCCCGTGAAGAGGTTATTTTAAACACGACGAAACTCCACCTTTTCAGGACGAGAAAGTACGCAAATTCAGTGTCATTTGAAGATTAAAATGAACAATTTTTGGATACTTATTGTAGTAGAAGAAATTACACTATTTTCTCAATATTTGGCAGCACGATGGGCAATCGTCTTAAGAAATTTTAGGAAACTAGAAAAAAAAGTAAATGAAAATTCTCCACGTGGGAAATAATGTTTTCAATTACGTTTTTCTCTCTTTTATTCGTCCCCCTTCTCTCTTCGTTCGGCCAGCGGCGCGCTATCTGCTGGTGGGGGCGAATTGACACCGAAGTAGCACGTTATCGGCAGAAAAACTTGTACGAACTGCAGATGAACACTTAAGGCGATTGTTTTTTAATAAGAAATTAGATATTACAGATTACAATCTCTATCAAAACCGGTGCGGACGTCTGCGGAAATTATTACGTTTTCGATATTTAAATGAAAAAGATATTAAGATTATATATATAATATTTTATTTGCTTTGTTTGATTTTTTATAATTAATTCATATTAAGAAGATATGTCGGATATATATAATATTACAAACAACATGAAAGAGTTCTCACGGTTTTTCAAGAATTCATTATTTCCTTCCCTATACATTTATCTCACTAGTTTTCTACACTAATGATCTTTTTTTAAATTATGCAGAAGGACAAGTATAAGCGGAATGAACTATGTACAATTCGCATTGAACGTGACACCGCCAACCATCTGCGCGTTGAACTTGTCTAAACGGTAAAGATTTCGGCCCGCGTTCCGGGGCTTGGCCCAGTGCGCGGGGCGGCGAAGAGTGGCGCGGGGGAGGGGGGCCGTGCTGGGCACGGGCGGCGCGCGTCGCGGCTCACGACGGAACGGCGCTGCCGCTGGCGGAGGACAGGGCGATCTGACACGGCGACAACGCGCGCCGCCGCCGCCGCCTCCGCCTCCGCCTCCGCCCGGGCTCTATTTGCGGCGCGGCGCCCGAGCGCGGACGAACGGCCGCAGCCCCTGACACACTCCGTAGCGTGCGCGGGAGGGAACACGACTTTGACGGACCGGCGTCGTGGCACTGACGTAAGCGCGTCTTGTTCTCTGAGAAATGGAAGGAAACCGGCACGAAATTTTGATGGTTACCATTCCAACTAAACATGAACCCTGGAAATATGATGGTTTCATTTATAGCAATCGCTATGAACGATAGATAATTCACAAAATATGTTAAAGAAAATAATAAACAACAAATACTCAGAAATTCAATTACCTAGGAATTTTTAGACGTAGATTGACTTACTTGGAAATTAACAATGTTTCATTTTTTGTTGTGAATTTGTTTTAAGTTTTCATAAATACTCATTTTATAAATATTCTTGTAGTTAGCGATATATAACTTATAGTATGCCTAATCACTTATGAAATGGCCATCTATCGATTAACGTTGACGTACGTTTTTTTGAAAGCTATTGATAAAAACTTAAAACTTGACCACCCCGATGGCATCAGAAATGAATGAATCCCACCGGTTTCATAACTTGCACTTCTTTCTGACGTAACAACGATGAAACTAGCGTACAGATTTGTCCTAAAAGTTGTAGATACTCGCGATACCTTTCTGAAATGCAAACACAACAGAAAACAAGATTTCTACATTTGTAAAGAGCAGGAGTTTCGGGGTGAGGAGGCAGGAAGGAAGAAAAAGAACGGAGACTCTTTCCGACTCAACATATTTATTTCCCAACTTCCTCTGTACAAAGTGAAGGTCCGGGGCGCGGGCGCGGGCGGGCACGCCTTGGCGCCCCCGCGGGGGGAGGAGCAGTGATTGTGACTCGCAGTGGTTCGGGCGGACACCAGGGCGCCGTCATTGGCCTTTACTCTTTGCGTGAGCTAACGTTTGGCAGGAGAATGCCTGCACTAAAGCTCTCCGCCTAATTCTAACGCCGTAGAAATCACAATGTCCCGGATCAGTGAGAGACACTGAAAATAATTGAAGTCGTAGGCTTCCGCGGCCAGAGTCATGTACGTGATGTTGGCTGTCCGAGTGACGCCGCGTCGAAGGCTGTGTTGCCGACGTTTCGACCATCTTGTCGTGGTCTTCCTCATACCAGGACATACCAGCCCTGAGGAAGACCACGACAAGATGGTCGAAACGTCGGCAACACAGCCTTCGACGCGGCGTCACCCGGACAGCCAAGATCATGCACACTGAAAATAATTGTTTGTGAGATTTCACGCTTGCGATATCATTCCACGGTGAAGGAATGATATCGCTCGAGTTAACGCCTTTCATAAAGAATTTTTGTAAGTTTTATAAAGTTCACAGTTTAATTTTGTTGTTGTTTTTATCTTTGGATGCTTGCATGTAGGACTGTCGGTTTACGAATTAATATCCTTCTTTGACTATATTTTTGATGAGAACTTGTATATCGCATTTGACCTTCCTTAATTTTCCGTGTGTGAAATTCGTTTGAACCGGAAACGGATAAAACTGTTTTGTTGAAAACAAAGTCATTTTCCCCTGTCATTATGCACAGTTTCGTTGGATTACACGGAAATAAAGGAATGAATTCTTCTCTGAGATTATAGTTCACGAACTGTGAATAATCTAATTAAAGAACTCAAAATTGCTCGTGAAACTGGCAGAAATATCAATTAAAACTTTCACCTTGCAGATTTCAACAAAACGGTATGTAATTAATTATTAACATACGTACATACGTGGTCCATGCTGATCGTGTAACATACATACGTAAGATCTGTATTTTACCCGATTAGACGCAAAACAATAAGCTTGAACCTTTCAATTAGAAAGACAATATCATATAATTTTATAAACCTTTAGTGGCTCTTAACAAGTAATGCCTGACACGCATATCGTAACACACAAAGCGCCTGATGGCGACCTGCTGCCCGGTGATGGAGGACACAGGGCGTCTGCGTTGGCGCCGCGAATTCATTTCGGAGAGGAGCCCTCCCGCTGACTCAGGCCAGGAGCGTTGGACATTTCTAGATGCGAAAGGCAAGTGATTTAGTCACGTTCAGTTTGTATGGTAGATTTTACGAAGGATAGTCACTTTTCACAAAAAAGTTTTCTTATCCACTTACGTCAACTTCGAGTTTTTCAAGGCTCACATACATAAAAAAGGAAAATTGTAAAGATTTTATTTTTCTTAAATATTTAGTCGAAGTTATTTAAACAACTACGTAAATTTCATTTCATCGCTCTTCTAAATCTTAAATGAATTGTAGTACATAACCAAGAAAGCGTATTCTGAAACGTACATTAAATTTAGGTTTCCTCTAGTAAAGACATTCAAATAAAATATTTCTTTGTTTCATCTTTTGGTAATGCATAAGAGTTAGTTTGTTGTAACAAACTCTGTTGAGTCAGTTATTTGAGAAAACACAACAGACTGTATCCCATGAAAATAATAGTGTTCTTGCTGTAAGAGTACAAAATTTCGTACGTACCTTTGCCCATCTCAACAATCTTAATGAGATAATTTATGGACTAGGCGTGGGTGTGTGGTATTGACAGCAAACACTTATTTGTACCTCAGTTACATCTAATTTCAGTGATAGCTTTTCTTGCTAAAAGGTTACTTTTCTGGCACTCAGAATATATCCGGTAGTAACGGGTACACTCAAAGGTATTAATGCATTATATCAACATTTGTTAGCAGATAAAGCTAAAACATAATTTTCTGATTTACGATTTTAAAGTGGTTGATTTATTGTGCATATGAGATATATATCTTATATGTATATCAATCAGTATATGAGAGAATCTGTATCCGTGATATTTGATAATTATTAATTATGAATTAATCGTTTGAAACTATTAATAACAGTATACGTACCAGATTCAAAACATGAAAGTAATGAATATAAACTCTAATCAATAATCTTTCTGAGTTTTCTATTTGTTTTATTTACCTTTCGGTAGTTTCCATTTTCATTAAAATACTCTTACAAGTACATGTGACAACCGTATGAGTGTACGTGGGTTAATTTTTCAAAATGTTAATAACACATTAAAAAGTTATCGCGCTACAACACCTTATTTCAGTTCCACACGTTATGCGTGAGAGATGGCGCGGTAATCTCAACAAACTCAGAAAACATACCGAGATGAAATACTTTCATTCGGTACAAAATAAATAAACCCACCTTCCAACAAAGGTAGAAAGCCGTTTCGTAGCGCAAAGCCTCCTGGCCGAAGTCGCGTTCTCTTCTCCGGGCCGAGTCGCGTCGCGTCACGCCGCCGCCCTGGGGCCTCGCCACGATGACGACGTCAACTGCCACGCGGGTCCGATAAAATCCACACGTCAACGAGCCAATTACAGCGCCGGGAAGATTTAATGAGTCAATTATGGCGGTTATTGCTTCACCTACGCCACGTCAGCATGGAGGCACTCGTTTCTCCATGCAAATGGGGAGCTGCTGATCAAGGATATCCAAGAGGCAGTACACCAATTTAGTGATAATAAATTATAAGAAAAGATTATATTAAATCAGTTTTAAAACCTAATAATGTTGACTCCAAAAAGATGTAGAGAACATATATTGGTTCTTATTAACGTTTATATATATATATCATATATATATGTATATATATATATATCTATATATATATATATATAAACATCAGAAAAGTCCAGAAAGAAAGCTGAACGACATAAAGTCAAATGCAACTGATAGAATGTCTTTAAAAAGTTATATTTGGTAACTTTAAGTGGAGATAACCTGACAAATATTTCCACATATGCAACTGTGTTCAATTTCTTGATATTTAATTCAATTGGCATTGTTTTAATGGAACGTCCACTTACAAAAGGTAAAAAATATTACCATGTGGGCACATTAAAAAAATTTATTCTAAGCGTAAAATCAGTTTCTGTCCCCTAAAAAATTATATTTGGACAATTTATGATGAACGTCATAATCTCTTTTGTAAATAGTTCTCTTATCAAAGTTCTAAGAAACTCCCCTTCAACGAGCGTGGGCCTATTTTTCGACGACGTTGACATGGAAGCAAAACGGCAGCGATTGCCTTACAAATCCTCCGAGCTGCACCCGAGACGTAGGCTCCGAGAACCGGCGTTGCAGTTGACGTGACACGGCAATGAAGTCTCCGCCCCTAGGAATCGAGGGCGCTAACGTTAAAGAAGTCCTACGTACACTGAACTCTGCAGAAGTTTGGAGACATCTAGGACACTGGATGTTAAAAGAAGGGATGTCAGTCGATATGAAACTCCAAGTGGATACTAAGGATTACTGCGTCGATATCGCACTCGGATCATGATTCTGAAAGTGGGTTGAAACCGATATACGTATCTATTAGATTAATCTCTTAACGGTTGTGTAATGCTTATGAGCAGTTCATTTTCACGCAGTTATGTGCGTCTGGGCATAAGTGTGTGGTTTGCTATCTTGTGGTTGAGATTATGCAGCACCGAATACGAAATAGAAAATTGAAAAACGAAAATCAATACCGCATTACTACTTCATGTATCGATATAAATCTACATCCAAAGGTCTTCGCCTAAAATCTCATCGCATCGATATCAAATGACATCCCCGGTAAAAAGAGAGAGAGAGAGATAGAATAGATACATGGTGTAGGTGTGTGCGATATTTGTTTTAACACGATATGGATACCAGTATAAGAAATCACACGTAACAAATGCCGGGCGCCGGACTGGCGCCCGTGGGGCAGCGGGCGCGGCCCGCCCCCTTCCCACGGGACGTGGGCGGCGCAGACGGCGGCGGCGGCGGCGGCGGCGGCAGGCGACGGCGACGGCGACGTCGCAGCGGCCGCGTGCTCACACTTGCGTATGTGTGTTGCTGTGCACCTGGTCGCCTTCCACGCTGTTGATCTGGTTCGCTGGCGTGTAGTACTGCAACAGGCCGCCGCCGGCTCAGCCGCGCTGCAGTCGCGACACTGTCGCGCCCTTCGCTGTGCCTACGGCCTACAATCACTACTCATGGGTTGAGACGAAAGAAAAAATTGGTTTTTCAAGATTAGCGGCGTTTGCCCCGTCGGTTGAAGTTAAGTTCTTTTTTATTTTTAACGTATAGTGTTTTTTTTAATCCTCAAGAACATAGAATCAACCATTTAAAACGCGTTCTCATTTAACTTTTGGAGGATGTAAAAACTTCATATTTATATTCAATTTAATTAAGTTCTACTCCATAATATACTATTTACTTATTTTTTGAAACCTCTTTTATCAATTAGGCATCCAAAATTCAATGAAATTCTCATCACTTCTTTTAATTAAGAAAATTTTTGAACAACCCGGACTCCCATTGAGATTATGTTTGCTTCTTGAAACGCTCAGGCTATCTTGCTACAACCCATCAAACATCAAAATGGTTTAAATTAATGATATCATATCAGTCTCGTTTAGGAATTCAAAAGTATACTATTTGTAATTTAGTTAAAATTGTACAATTCGAGTTACAATGTTTAAAACTCAATGTTTGTATTTTATATGAAGAAAATTACTGTGACGCATATAATGATTTGGTATTTATTGATAGTTAGTATTACCAAAACAGTCGAGATATTTAATTGTACAGTGTAACTTTCAAAAATAAGACGCCTCTTTAGAACGTACAATATATACCATTATTTGATACGTTCAAACATTCGAAGTTTTGAAACTGTTTCATTAATATTTATTATTTTTATAATATATTAAATTGATATTTTGTACTCAAACACGCTATGCGTTCCATGTTAAAATCTGCGATTTAAATTAATTTGTATTGGACGGCTCCTAGCATGAATTTGTATTATTGGTGTTTGGTTGAATGAAAAGATTGTACTTTCTGAATTCTGACACCGATTACGTTTCATTTGCATTCCATTGTGCCACAGTGGGAACGACTAATTAATGTTGGAGAATAACTAATTAATGAAGACTAATAGTATAATGAGTTTATGACAGAATCCGGCTTTTTCAAACTTCCGAATTCTTTTTTGAAAAACGATTTTACATTGCAGAAAAATATAGACAATATTTGTAACACATATTACAATTTTCAAATATGTCTTTGTGTACTTTTCTCACTTGCAATTTTATTTTTGAAGGGAAAAAATGCTTCTTACTTATTTTGGTTGGGAGATTACGAATTAGACTTCTCTTGTAGCCACACAAAAAATCGTGAATTTACAGTACAATATTTAACCATTTTCAATCGCAATTATTTCCTCAAATTCTTAAATTATTAAATAATAGGAGATTTTTTCGTAGAATAATTAGAATAATTGCATGCATCGTATTTTCAACCAACAGACTAGAGATATTTTTTTCAAAATGTTTACATAGACTTTTAAAACATACCTTAATTTGAATTACCTTTTAACTAAACACTAAATATCACCATTTCCTGTGAATCTATTGAATCAAGAATTGTCGTCCCATTCTCTGAAGTCCAAACAATAGTTTTTTTTCCACAGTTGTGAAATTATATACGTAGTATTAAATCTATTTCAAATTATTATTGAAGTTATATTTTTAGTTCTCTAAGGTCAACTAAATGTGTACATTGTGAGTGCAAACACAAAATATATTAACAAATGTTCACATAAGATATAAAATTTGTAATAGTTTGCTACCTCGTAATAGCTTGCATCAGACTAAACTATCATGCTTAAAAATATATTATTGTAATGGTTTCTTGTCCTTAATAAATATACTCATCATTTTATGAGTGTCTTTTTTGTTATACAATCATGACGTTTCAACCTTATTTGGGGTATTTTTAACAAAATATACTGTCTAGGTTTGTTAACATGACATCATAAACAAACAGCATTGTGGTAAAAAATTGCGGACTGGATGAAATTTACGACTGCACCAGATTTTTTATACCTATCATATTTTTTTATCAAAATGCTAGCTCTTTATGACGAGATGTCAACAAGTCTGGTCACAATATTTCTTTTAAAAAGATGCCAATTGGATTAAAAAGGTATGATAGTATAACAATTAAATCAATTCTTATAGAAATACAAGTCTGTTTATTGAGGTCAAAAACCATTATAATAAAATAAACAATATAACAGACGCTAATACAATCATTAAAAATATTATCTTATTTTAACTGATTGTTTCAACATAAAACAGTATATTCTGCATCCCATTTATCCCTCTCTTTTTTAGATAAATCATTATTTTAAGTAATTTTAAGTTCAAGAATTTTGCTTCGCATTCGATATTTTCTTATAATCATAATAACGAATAATTTTGTTTTTTGATATGTCTGAGTTGACAGACTGAAAATCAATACATTGAACGTTACAAAACATAATGTGAAAACTTTTGTTCCTAATTATAACATTAACGTAAATGAACGGACTCGTGGAACATTTATCGCCAGATAGTTAAATATGCATTTGAGTGCCACGATGAACGTTTGTTAAAAGGTGCCAGCGTAAAATGTTCCTTGGTAGTCACGAGTCTATTCATTCGCTCCATATAAGAATTCTGTTTTTAAATAGGGATAAGCATTTAAATGCATAGGAGAGCTACCCAACAATTTTAACTGAGAAACAATGCGATTGATGGCAAATATTAAAATTTAGACATTTCTACGAACAAAATTTGTTAACAAAAATAATGTGTCTGATTCATTTAATGTACTTCAATTATAATATTTTTTATTAACCGTGTAAAAAAGTAACATCAAATAAGTGTTGAATTAAATATTTTTATTAATTCTGCTAGTTAGTTTACGCACAACAGACAAAAATGACGAAAAGCAAAAATATATTTTCATCGCTTCCAGTTGCTGAATCGCTCTCCCATGTTCGTGCGAGCGGTGCATGCGGGTCGCAACTGCGCATAAAACTGTGGTGACGGTGACGGCAATGGCGGCGTGGTGGTGTGGTGACGTGGTTGTAATGGTGTGAGTGTCTGTGGTGTGATAGGTTGTGCGTTTTCATTGTCGTGAAGAAGGGGAGGAGGAACACATTAGGGACTGGAAGCTCACACTCCACCGCAGCCACACGATTCGTTCTTTCGAGCGTAATTACCCTTTCCCCATTGCTTGAGATTAGACAAGATGAAAATGTTACAGAACGATTCACTCTCAGCTTATCAGAAGTAGTAGGACTAACTGTTGAAGAGACGACTTTATTCCTTGATTACGTCTAGAAACAAATTTCAGAAAAATAAACTGGCCTCTCAAAATTGAATCGTGATAAATTGACAGTTTTGTTTCTTACAATCGAAAAAATTACAGAAATAGTGACCTTAAATTCTTATTCACTTGCAAAAGCCTGAATTTTTGTCACAGATTTTCTTGAAATTGCTCTATACATTCTAATGGCGTACAATCTCATTAGAAGAGTGAATGAAACAAGCAGGTCATTTTAACTTCTTCCCACCGCATGTCATCAGTTATAAGAAAAGATGACTATCAAATATTTAATTTGAAATTTCGCACGAATTTCATTAAGAAAATATTAGCGTCTAGTCCCGTGCAGCACGTGAGTACGGGGAAACCATGGGCGAAACAACTTAATCGACCTCGTCAGGCTGTTAAGGCAAATGAACCGGAACCCAATCACGGCAAGCCGCAAAAGTGAACGTCGTCTCCATCGAAA